GCGCAAACGCAGCAGAAGAATTCCTCCGGGCCCGGGTTGGACTCAATGCCAGCACGAGTCAGGAGGATACGGAGCAACCCTGCTGCAAGGCGTTGCTCCAGTGACGACACACACAAATCAACACTCACCGATCCAAACGCGGTTAGATCGCCCTTGGTCGGATGAAATCCGAGTCAATTCCGGTAACGTAGAACCGGCTGTCGTGGGAATCGACCGGATCTGGTATTTCTAATTGGTTACACTTCGAGTGCCAGACCCTGAGAAAGGAGCTGTTTTGAAAGCAAGATGGGACGAAAGAACTAGGGACAAATTCAGACAACTTGTCGCATTCTACACTGGCTGTTGTAAGCTGAATAAGCCCTTATACAACATTCTTGTGTAAATTGCCGATTTTGCGACAGGGAGCATGAAACACCAAAACATCTGCTAATTACCTGCATAGAAGTATGCAGCCACAGGTTAAAGATCCAGGGGTACATGTTTACAAATAAGAATCACATAGTTCGCTAGTACCCATTAGTATATTGGACTTTATTAATAGGCTGGGGCTAGGAGTGCTTGTGATCTATCTACATCAATATTTTGACATTTTAGAAAAATTAAGTAAATAAATTATTTGATGTAGTACAATTGTGCCCAGAATGTGTTAAGTCGAAAGTTCCACGACTTTAATTACGAATAAGTAAGTCAGTAAGTTATGTTTATAAAATTGTGTGGAATCGTGTTAACAAGTGAACTTTTAGTCTAAAATAGTAATATCAAATGCTAACGCTATGAGTCCATATCTTCCTCTAGCTCCAATATACCCTTCATAATAATTTCCGAAAGAGGGGTCGGCAATCATTCATACTGTCTTGAGATAAAAATTGTAAATTGAGAAGAGTTAAACTGGTGGTTCCCCAGGGTGGTGTCCTCGCTCCGTTGCTGTTTAATTTCTACATTTCGAAACTTCCTCAGCGACCAGAGCAAATTTCTACCTCCTACACAATCGATGGTGTTAAAATTCCGACAAAGAAACGTTGTTGGTTCTTCGTAAAAACTATTTCTGCAGTCGCCTGCTTGAAGCGGAATGGCTCCCCTTAAATATTCAAAGTTTTGAACTAAGCTAAGATAAAATAAGTGAACGAAATAATTACGATACATATGGAATAATTTATTCTGCTAACATGTATGCATACTTAACAGTTTGAATTTGAAACTTACCATGTTTTGTGAGGGTTGTGACTGCATGGCTCTTAAAATGTTTGGCTGAACTGTTGATCCGAACAAAGCCGTTGTTTGCATACCGTGGACAAATAAACAGATTTAGTGGCGTCCCACTTTAAGGGGTTACAGATTATGTCTGTGTGGTGCAGCTACATAACCTTCTATTAATGATGTTAAGGTTTACAAATTGTAAATATAAAAATGTCTTATACAATTTTCTCACCTAAATTACAAATCGATGATCGTTTAATAACAGCTTGTTAAGAAACAGGCTAGTTTCTGTTGCACACAATTTCCAACCGTTACCTCGAAGTATTTCGTTTATTTCGATTGGAAAAAAGTCTTGTAGTTTATATGGTTATATATATTTCTTATTGTAAAGAACTGCTTTCGTTAATTTAGGTTGTATTACCTAGAATTATGAAAAAATAAGGACATGATTTCGATTACTTTGGCCCCAAAGACTTAAAAAAATATATCCCAAAAATAAAGTATATGGCAAAACAAACTTAGTCGGATTAGCTAGAATATGTATTTAAGGGAGGGAATTAGGTTTTTAAGGTAAAAAATAATACTTCTTTTGCGAATTTATTTCTTAAATATAGATTGAGTTATTTTATTTGGACATTATTGAGCATACCCAATCTAGTTATTCTTTCATGCAAAGTTTGAAATCAATCGGTCAAGTAGTTTTGAAATAACAGTGAACGGATTAAAAAAAAAAAGTTTTGAGAAAAAATTCAAAAATTTGTTAACTAAAAAAGCGATGAAAAAATAACGCGTAAATTTTAAAATAGCATCCCCGCATTTCGGGGTTAAAATGGGTATGTACGAATAAAGGTCCTCTAGATTAAGAAAAAAAATATATATATAGTTGCCGCAAATTTATGGTTTTTGAGATATTTGCATTTAAAGTTCAAAAATTCAACTACTTAAAGTGCGTGTTTTTTCCATTTATAATGAATTTTATGGTTATATTTTTAACTTTTATATCCACTAACACTTCACTAAATCGTTTCTAACCATTTATTTTACATTAAATAGTGCAAAAATAATTTATTCAACTTTTAACTTTTGTTCATTTATTTTTGTTCGCACAGTAAGGAAAGGGTTGCATTTTAACTAATAATCAGAACCAAAAAAATAACCAAATGAAATAAAGATAACAAATAATACCCCAATGACAGGAAATATATTACATATTAGTTTTCCGTTACACGTCAAAATTCCTTTCTGCATTGGGGGCTCAGTTGCAGTGAATTTAACTAAAACCAAATAATTGAAATAAAGCTTTATATTCAATAAATATTAAAAAAAAATTATTATACATAAACGTTATAGTGAAGTGTCACTAAGTGAAAAGTGCATAATATAAGTGAAAAAGTTATTCACAATATACAAATTATCAATTTAAAAGTTGTAAATTCTTTCACTTGAAACTATAAGTCAGCGGCAACTATATACACATATATTTTCGTGATCTGGAGAACGTCACCTTTCCAGTGACATCCATTTTATCCCCGAAATCCGGGGATGCTATTATAAATTTTACCCATCTATTCAATACCACCAAATCAATGTATAGAAACGAATTAGTGAAAATAAAAGTCGATATAAAAGTCACAAATACTAATACAAAATTATTTAAAAATCAAAGAAACACACTCTTTAATTAAAAAAAAAGAGGATTGTTTAGTATCGCGCCGGTTAAGTATCGTTTATGGAGAAAAACAGGGTCGGGCTACCCCCCCTTCCCGATGCATTATTGGAAAGAGGAAGGATCGAACTTTTTAATAAACCCCCCTCGACCCCCTATGGACCTGTAGGGAGGCCTTTGAAAATGACAAAAAATCAGTGTTTTTGCTCATTTTTCCATACAAACTGAAACCAATGCAACCCAGCCAACATTTTKGTATGGACAAGAAATCAAAATAAAGAAAGCCAAAATRWTTCAGTGCAATGTATATACATATTTAATTGCATCTATCCTTCGGCCGCGCTTTAAAAAAATAACCTTGGCCGGTCCAACACCGGCTACGCCATCCACAGTATTTTAGCATTGAACACCTTTTCCCCCACAGTATCTTGGCATTTCATTCCTTCCGTTCTAACGGCCTTCGGCCGCGCTTCAAAAAAATAACCCTGGTCGATCCAACACCGGGGTGTTCAGGGTTCTTTCGCGTAGAACTCCTTTCTGCACTGGCGGCCTTCGGCCGCGCTTTAAAAAAATAACCCTTTAAAATAACACCTTTCCCTCCACAGTATTTTAGCATTTCATTCCTTTCCGTACTAGCGGCCTTCTTCCGCCCTTCAAAAAAAATAACACTTGCCGGTCCAATACCGGCTACGCAATCCACAGTATTTTAGCATTGAACACCTTTTCGTATTCACTTCATACATTTGCTAAGTGGATTTAATTTATTCCCTTTTGTTCGTGCTTTCTCGGTAAYTTGACAGTTCAAATTAGGCAGTCATTTTGGTTTTTCACATTATTGAACTCAATGCAGATAAAGGTGTATTTTATTTAAAGATTTACAAAGAAATTAACAATCAAAAGTAATTAAARACATTACTAGTGGTTTTTATAATTCATAAGTAATATATGTGCGTGAAAATGTATCCATAATTGGTTTGGTACAATGCACAACAGATGCAAATACACTAGCATTTATTTAGAAATTTTCAAAAAAAAAAAAAAAAAATCCTAAATCCAAGCCTTTTTACATAATACGGAGAACTCCTTCTATCATTACATGCCCATTTTAACCTTGAACTCGGCTAAATCTAAACCTCAGTTCTTATAATGTATCAACTACAGAATATAATAATATAACATAATTATTCTCTACTCTACAGAAGCATTTTGATTCTGTAGTAAATATCTTCCAAACATCAACACAACAAAATGACTACATCTAGTCACGTGTACAAAATTCATGACCGGACACTTGCATTTAATGTAGAACTAGTCTTTATAGCTTATATTAAGCAAATATATTTTCGCCAAAGTAGAGTTAACGTCATTTTGAACTTGGAATTTGCGATTTATTTGAAATTTCTTTTCCCAATAAGCATTGAATAAATCTTATATGAATTGACTTGTATACACATATATGTGCCCAAAATTAAAAAAAAACAAAAAACCTTTATATTTACGCATTGTTTAAATATTGAAATCGAACACAATGATTAAATTTTACACATGTTACACAAGCATTTTAGCAGTATACCATTTATTTGTGAAGTTTTTTATCACATTGGTGTAAACGAAGATCTGCGATATGTGTATATACCCACCGCTTTCATCATTATTAGCCAACAGATCAACTAGTCACTATATCAACTTTGTTCGCTTTTATGCAAATACACGTTATACACGTGGCAAAATAGCACGTAACGGCAGTTTAATAACATATTTTATCTTTTTCATGTTTCGTGGAATATTTCTTAATTTTAAGGATTTTTGAAAAAACATTTCACATTTTCTTAACACCGATAGAAATATTAAATATCTCACTATTTATTTCATATATTTTAACAGTTATGACTAACGAGCAAACTATTTTTATGATTAATTTACCTCTTAAAAGTGCGAAATTAACACATTGAACATTACTAAGCTTTAGTAGCATCAAGAGTCAACCCTTGCCACACATATAACATCAACGCGCAACGTTGCACACTTACTACTTTTGTTTGTCTATAGTCACATTTTCACCAATGGCGTTGCCACAGATTATTTTACACAATACATATTCACATGGAACGACGACCTTATTGCCAATAAAGACTGCACATCGCTCACGAAGTATCTCGAAAGACAATAAACGTTGTCTAGACAATTGAATTTATTGCCAATGTAAAACTAAACGTTATGTATATCTGCTTTATAGCGGGATTCTGTAAGCAGTCTCTAATCTCTATTTGAGACATTTTGTGGTAAAAACTCAATTTGTGACTAGTTGCTATTCACTAAACAGTCTCTAGCTTTAACCTCAAAATATTGCCTCAAATTTGAGACCTGATAGTTAGCAAGTCACAAAAACAAAAAGCACTCTTGTCTGTCATTTTGAATATACTGAATGGAGATCATCATAGATATTAATCGATTGTCATTTTTTTATATTTTGTAAGCAACTCAAACACGAAAAGGTTAAAAATAAATCAATATTTAAAAAAAAATTCGAAAATATTATGAAACAAAGTCAACATATATTTTTATTTTGATTGATAATTATGTTTTTGACTATGTTATAGAAAATTAAATTTTTGTTATTGACATATTAATTTTCATTCAAGTTTAAAAGCATCTCTGAAATATTAAATGTAATAGATTTTGGGACTGTCACTTACAGAATAGCAAAATCGTCTCAAGTCTCAACAATTGTCTCTATCAAATTTAGAGACTTGATACTGTATCAAAGTAGATAATCGCACGGTTAGTTTTCTATTGCCGGAATTCTGTACTTTGATACAGTCACAAATCTCTAAATTTCACATCTTAACTGTGCGACTCTGTACTGTGATACAGTCTCAAGTCTCTAAATATGAGATTTTAAGTTATAGCAGGCTTCTGTAACCAGTCTCTAGTCTCTATTTGCGACATTTTGAGGTAATATCTCAGTTTGTGACTAGTTACTATTCACTAAAACGTTTCTAGCTTTATAGCGGGATTCTGCAATCAGTCTCTAGTCTGTATTTGAGACATTTTGTGGTAAAATCTCAATTTGTGACTAGTTACTATTCACTAAATAGTCTCTAGCTTTAGTCTCAAAATATTACCTCAAATTTGAGACCTGGTAGTTAGCAACTCACAAAACCAAAAATAACTCGTGTCTGCCATTTTGAATATACTGAATAGAGATCATCATAGATATTAATCGATTGCATATTTTGTAAGCAACTCAAACGCGAAAAAGTTAAAAATAAATAAGTTTTACATAAATTTCATTAATATTATGAAACAAAGTGAACATATATTTGTTTTTACTGATAACTATGTTTTTTGCCTATGTTATAGAAAATTTAATATTTGTTATCGACATATTTATTTCCATTCAAGTATAAAAACATCTCTGAATTATGAAATGTAATAGAGGGAGGATGGAGTCATGTGTAGAAGTTCACGCAAGTGAGGAAAGTTTTCTGATCGCCATTCACTTGGGAGTGGCCAGAAACGATTCTTTTACATAT